AGTCAGGGGAACAACAGGTGGGGGGCTGTTCTTTCTGTGCATGTTTGCGTTGTTCCAATCCGGAATCATCCGTCTCCAATGAGCAGAGTGAGATTCTTTGAGGAATGACGTGTCGATTCATTGAAATGGACGTGCCAACAACAAGTTAATTGAAGCCTTTTTTTTTCTTCTGGAGTTGAAGGTGAAGAGTCAGTGCGTACAAGTAGCCCATTGAAATTCTGTGTTTTTTGGCCGTTGATCTGTAAAATCTACAGATCTACAGCCGGCCAGAGGGGTCCGGACGCCTAGCAGARTCAAGCAGATTGTCATATTTTCAGTCACAAATCACTGACGACTTTTGTCGACGGATTGAATGAGCAGTGACGGCAACAAAAAGTTTCGTTGAAATAATCCGATTCCGTTGCGTCTGCCCTTTTATTTATTCCATTATTCCATTTTATTCCATTTTATTCCATGATATGATGAACCTGCGGTCCTGAATTTGACCCTCAGGGTCGTAATTTATTCACTGAATGACATGAAATGATGGAGGACCCAAAAAAATAAAAAAAAAATAAAAAATGATGGAGGACTTTGAGGGAGAGAATTTCGTCGACGAATCGGAGGAGGGGTGCGGAGGGGTGCGGAGGGGTGCGGGCAGCGAACAGGGCAGTCCAATTCATGATTGCAAAAAAGTCATGCTCCAGAGTCTACATGCAATGCTATCTTCTTCTTTCTTTTTTCCTTTTTTTTTTTTTTTTTTTTTTTTTTTTTTTTTTTTTTTTTTTTTTTTTTTCCTCTTTGCTTTTTCCCTTGTCTTCTTACCTGTTGAACTTCGCTGTTTTGCACACATACAAAAGCCCAAGAGCAAGCTTCCGCAGCAGTTATACTTAGTACGGTAACCCTCCAGCGGCCAGGTCCCACTAGCAAAGTGAATTGGATTTTCCTTCTGAACCTGGATGTGTTCTTGGAGAGGTGCATAAAATCACGATTGATCCGCTTTTCTGCATCTCTGCGCAAAAAATCATCCAGATTCAGGATCTTAATCCAATCCTCTTTGCCAGTTCAACTGCCTTCCTGGAGCAAGCCCTGGACTCTGGAGTAATTCCACCTTTCACCCTGCTAAGGCATTTATTTCTGGCCATTTGACCCATGCTTAACTATAACCTACTGTTTGAACATGCTTACCTGAATTCTGTTTTTTTTTTCTTTTCTTTTTTTTTCCTTTTTTTCGGGCCGTTGATCCCCCGGTTTTTTTTTTTTTTTTCCCCTGAACATTAACGAGGGCGGCCTGCCATCTGGCAGGTATAAAAGCCCATGTGGCAAGCACTAGGTCTGCCTTTGATGTCTCCCATTCCCTGATCTTATCTGTTGGGAGATGCACGTCCTGGGAACCGACGGACAAAATATGTCTAGCACACACGTGTACGGGCTCTACTTACACTCTTACAGAAAAAAGGACCGAAGACGCAGATCTGGAATAAAAGACAAATAACGGTGACGGAATACGAGACCAAATACATTGACCACTAGTATTCTTTTTAAAGTGGTATCTGGTCTTTTAGCCGACCAGATACCGAATGTTTTACCTACCCTCATTCATGCAGACCAGACTGGTTTCCTACAGGCTACACTGCCGCTACAGGGTCCAGTTAATAGATACTGGAGACAGACTGATGGCAGTATGCCAAAAAGGAATGAAATACATCAACGGAACGGAACGGAATGGAATCCCCAGGTGCTGTGCTCCTCTTTGATCTGTGTTGCCCCCGTACCGGGGTTCTTTCGTATGGCCGTTTGGGGGGCCGCTTTGATCTGTGTTGCCCCCCGTACGTACGGCCCGTACGACCGCTTGGGGGACCTTACGTACAGACGTACGGCTGTACGTACTCCCCGTATCCGTACCGCCGGACACATAGGCTTTGATTTTGAAAAAGCGTATGATAAAGTCAATTGAGATTTCTTGTTTCTGCTCCAGGACCCTCCGTGCAATTTCGACCGAAAATGGGTTACCTACCCTCATTCAGAAACCGAACTTTGGAGTCTGGACCGCCATTTTGCAATGTGTGTGCGTGCACTTTTTACTGGGCTACCACAAGACTATTAATTAATGGTGGCAAACTTTCAGAGGCCATTCCTCTCTCTCTCTCTCAATCTGTACTATGCCAAGGGTATCCTCTGACTCCTTATTTGTATATATTATCCTTTATCCATAGAAGCCCTCCATACGATGCGTCATTGGGCTCCAGTACCCTCCTGCTCAGCACGGAAAAGAACAATCTTTTTTCTAATGGCACTTTTCTTTTTGTCCTTAGGCTGCTGGACGACTGTGCCTTTGATTTGATGCCATAAAGGAAACAATATAATTATTAATTAGTATTTGCTCAAGTATCAGACACTAGGGTAAATTACTAAATTGGGAAAAAAATGTTTTCCGTTTTATTGATTTCCAGTTCATTGTCCTTCCCCCGCTTGATTGGGCCCTGCATATCGCTGATTCTACTGAGATGCAATGCTTGCTGGGATCTCACATTAATTTTGAAGTCCGTATTGGCCAATCAACGGCACATCTTGTAGACAAAAAAATCAATGTTGTATTGTCATAATGGGTTAAAGTCAAAGGGGTCTCTCTATATGGTCTACGATTGATCATCAACAATGCTGTCTTTGCCGAACTCTGGTATGACCACTCTGTGCTCTTCAACCCTCAGTGTATAAACATATAAAGCATACACCAACAAAACAGTTACTATGGTCTTCCCCCGAACATAATGAACCCTAAAAATGAATGTATACAAGCTATGTTTCCGGCCAGATACAGCCAAAATAAGGGTGCGTTGTGTTCGGGGGAAGACGGTAGTAACTTACTACATTAGGAAGGAAAAGATTGCTGAGCCCACTTTTCTGTCCGAAGTAGCATGGTCTAAGATCATCCAGAAAAAAATTATATGGAGGGTCTAGAACTTAGACTAAAGTACTTAATCGCGGTCTGCAAATCCATTTTTTGTTGACAAAATGGGTACTACCACCCAGATAATTTCTGTTCGCTGATGGATTAGTCACTTGGAAATCTTCAACAAATGTGTTTCCCCGGATTGGGGGGTAGTCTCCGAAGAGTATGGCCCTCCAGTCCCATGGCTGGGCAGGCGGAGTGTCTTACGGACCATATGGTGGAAGCGATGTATCCTGGAGATAGAGGGGGCGCAGGTGGAGGACGGTGAAGCCATGGAACAAGTACGAACATTGGTCCACTTTGAAATTGAAACACAATGGAAGGCAGTTAAAGACAAGCTTGACCTGTCATATACCTGGGGGGATATGAACAAGGCCATCTCCCACTTCAGTAAAGACTGGCTGGGGGGGGTTAGGGAAGGCTGGGTGGCAGAGATTAAGTGGTCCGGATACGACCAGAGGGAAGAACCCCGGGAAGGAATGGCAAGGGACTACCGRCTGATTTTCCACGACYGGACCCAAATCGATCCGGGCGTCCCRTTACGGCCAGCCCAGGACTTCGCAGATCCCTTCCCCCCCCACCCGTTGTCYTTGGTGGAAGTACTGCCAACAGCATGAACCGGGACGACAGGATGACAGCACACATAATCCGGATGCATTCAGTTCATCCTGTTCATTCAGTTCATTCAGTTCATCCAGTTCACTCAGTTCACTCAGTTCACTCAGTTCACTCAGTTCAGAGCATTTCCCGTTCCTTTCCCGTTCCTTTCCGTCTCCTTTCTGTTTCTTTCTGCTTCTTTCTGCTTCTTTCTGCCTTCTTTCTGCCTCCTTTCAGATTCACCGTTAGCCACTTTCAGACCATTTTAAGATCACCACCCTCGGACTTCTGTAGGCTTTAGGGAGCCCTTCAGAAAAATCTTCAGTCAGACTCGATGAAGAACCAGAAGCATCAGAAGCAGCAGGCAGGTGCAGAAAAGTTCAGAAAGTCCAGAAGGGTTCATAAAGGGCTCAGAAAGGGTCAGGAAGGATCAACAAGGATCAGAAAGAGTCAGAAAGAGTCAGAAAGGTTCAGGAAAGTTCAGAAAGGTTCAGAAATGTTTTCAGAACCTCTGGTCTATATTCGGAACACCTGCAAGGAGTGCAAGTAACTGAATTGAGAGGGTTTGAGTTTCTGTGCCCTTCAACTCTTAGTTAGATGATTAGTTAGATGATTAGTTAGATGATTAGTCCGAGTTTCGCTGAGTTTTTTTGAATTTCTTGCAAGGGGACGCTGGACCCGGTTTCCAGCAAACAACACTCTATCTTAGATGCCCTAGGGATAGTGGGTGGATGGCAGAAGATAGTGGGTGGATGGCAGGGATTAAGGAATGAAGGGAGACCCCACTGGTGCCCCCCAGTGCCCCCCTCCATTCCCTGGCCCAGCTGTAGGATAGGCAGGGTAGGCAAGGAAGTGATAACTGGGATATGGGACGCTGGACCCGGTTTCCAGCATATGGGCATCATTTTTTCACTGAGTTACTTAAAAATATCATGGGACGCTGGACCCGGTTCCCAGCAGGTGATGCTCCCCACCAATAGATGGAGTGGCCCGTCTGGCAAAGCCTCCATCTTGGTGGTTCTCTTACCACCACCAGGATGGAGGTTTTCCGCATGGGGCCTATTAAAAAAAAAATAAAAAAAAAAAATTACTTGGAAATCTTTGGGGGTTTGACCCTTTTGCCCGGGATCGCTGCCAACCCATAGATTACCCTTTTGCACTTTTTCGAGAAGGGTATTGCTGCAACCCAGAGATATTTTCCTCTATTTGAAAAGGATATATTGGAAAATTTGCGACATATTTTTCCCAAACAGACAGAAAGCCCTGGTCTTACAAAATGACCGGTTGCTGTCCCAAGTTCCCAGCTGGTATTCACAACAATCCATGCATTTTGGCCGAAGACGGCATGCCTTTCCCACTCTTTGGCCCTGGGGCTTTTGCACACAACTGCCTTTCTCTAGGGGTTGTTGATTGGCAAGGGAACAGATCCAAGTCCAATCTGCAGCAGAGGCGATAAAGCTGATAAGTACAACCGAAAGGACACATCATACGGAAGAAGAGATGGGAAGAAGAATATATATATATATATATATATATATATATAGA